GTAAATTCCGTCCAAATCCTATGTACAACATACGCTGCCGGCGGCCATTGCTCTCGCGGCTGCACTGTGCACACTTACACTTATATATATAGCAGGTAGGAAAGCGGGATCCCTAAATTCGCTCGACGCTCGCTTGATTTCACGCCTTCACAGCACGAATACACATCCAACAGCTTCCATCTTTGTTTCCATTTCAAGAACAGTGTTCACTTGTTATAAAAACATACTGTCTCTGTTCGTAACCGAGCTGTGTCACGCGAAATCACACAAAGACTGACGAAATTCTCGCGTTCGCTAACCTTGCCCAGTAAATGTAAATAGTTGTCACAGTGCCTGAAATGAGGGCCAGCCTTAGGCTGGCCTGAAAATTTTTTTGGGGGCGAGTAAAAGATTGCAGGCACTGGCCCAAATGGAATGTTGGAGGCCCAAATATTGTAGGCCAATGTCTTATATAAAAACAACACAAAATCTTTTAAACACAATATTTTATTCAACCAGTCCCTCTCGGCTCATGGCCCAGAAGACTCCCTCCTCGCTGTATTCCGCGTCATCACTGTAGTCCGAACACGAGTCATAATATCCATCGTCACTGTCGCCTTTAACTTCATCCACCACTGGCACATCTACTCCAGCTGCTTCAGTCCGATCCGCCACCATCTGAATTTCCTTTGCAGTTTCTCGAGACACTGTCAACTTGGCTGCCTTCTCCTTCATAAGGACAGACACATCGCTAAAGTTGGGCCTCCTTGCAACAGCACCATTCAACAACTGGATAGCTAGTTTGGGGTCAAATCTATAATAAAATATTATGTTGTATGCGATTGAGCTTATCGTCTTGTGTTTTTCTCCCTTGTGTTGGCAAGTCTTATGTTCTATTATTATTTTTCAGAAGAATATTTAATGTTTTAATAGCCAAAATGACAAGTGATTAAGTCACTTCTCGTGTGACTGCTTACTGGTCGATTGGCGGCGAGTGGAGTCTGATGGTCATTTGGTAAGACAGGGATTCCTCCGACAAAGAGGATCTGAACGTCGTCTTCACTGACTTCATTTGACGGAAGCCACGTTCACATTCAGATGACGAACCTGCAAAGATAACATAGATCAGGATTAGTCAAATAATTTTGCTTATTGCCATATAGGTTTTGTGAAATATTTTATAAATTGATTCAAGCTAAACTTAGATGATTAAGGATTTTTCTTTTCTATCTCACAATTTTGGTTTATTAAAAAATAGTTACCAGGAATGGTCAGTATGAGGTCCATTACAGCCAGGATATTCGGGTAGTTGTCCGAGTACATTTCATTCACCCTCTCCCAGGTGAGGTTCTTGACATTCAGGTCACTGAAAGACAATTTAAGATCATCTCTATTTTTAAAATTGATCTAGAGATAACAAATTTAATGATGATATATTACAATACTCCACCAATTAATAACTTTGCTGTGTTCTTATCCCATTACGTTAGTAGCTTTTTGAGATAATACCTGGAATATAGTGCACTTTTCAATGCTGTCCACTCAATTGCAGCCTCTACTGTGTTGATGGAGTCCAGGCATGGAAGGAAGTGGTCAATCAAAACAGCCAGTTGATCATCACTGAAATCTATAACAAATGAAATGTAATGCATGTGAATCATGGCAAGATAAGCTTTAGCAATTTTCAAAATCAGTCGTCCATGGGTCAGCTGGAAACTAGATAACAAACAGCAATCATGTCACTGAAAATTAAAACAAAGAAAACTGTGTCAAGGAAACAAGGGTCAAAACCAAAAAATATTAACAACTAAAAAAAGAAATCTGAAATGAAACTCAAAAATACCAAAACATGTTGGTGAGCTAAACTCCAGGAACATTATTATATAACCCAAACGATTAACCTGTTATCTCAGTGCGGTTGTCGTCACTTTTCATAGGCCAAGACTTGAAGTTCGAAATTGACATGGCTTTGATGATGGCTTCACATTCAAATCTGCTTTCAAGGCTTTTTTTCAGTTCGTTTACCAGTCGCTGCCGTGCTGATGGAAAGGACTCTCCTCTACGTTGATTAAGACTAAGAGGTTCCATGTCCTCGTCAGTGTCTAAGCCTAATGCGTGTTTCCCTTTGCGGAGATATGGCCCATCCCTGAATAATTATTTTAAATTGCACAATGTTTCAAGAATCATGCAATTTAATATTTCTGATAATGCCAAGAAATTAATTGCAACTATTTATTACATACATAGGTGTGAAATGTAGGCAAATACGCAGGGAATAAAAATCATACAATCACTAGTGAGATATGAAGTTTATTTCACTAGTGAATTATCATTTTGCACCTGACGTCATGGTAATGCAACCAGCACTACTTTCATGAAAAATGAAGTATAAGCTAATGAAGCAATGTATATTACTGTTTTATGTGCAAATGTATGTAATAAACAGAATACTACACTGGGTGCTGTTGAATACTGAAAATAAATCACTCGTGTCCGGATAACGCAGGAACTCACGAGTGCGCTTGTAGTATCCTCTATTTATTACACTCGGATTAGTACTTACTTGGTGCCATAGAGATCGATAAGATTGTTGGTCTCCTCCACCATTCCATAAATGTCTGCGGCAGAACATTCCCGTCTCTGAAACACCCTGGACAACCTGGAGAGGATGGTAGCGATGTCCGCCAAGAAGTAGCAATACAGCATCACATGGGTGGACTTCAGAAGCTTTAAGAGGCCCTTAGCTTTGCCACTGGTACTTGATGAAGATCTTCCCACAGTCGAGGAACAAATCTGAATTAAATATTAAATAACATAATTTAAGCCTGTATTAAGAAATGTATGGATTGCATTTGTAAATAAAAATAAAATAAGCATATAATTAGCTTTAATTCATCCCTCCAAAAATACACTATTCCAGCCTAAGTTTAAGTTTCTATTCTACATTATATTGTTTAATTAATTCGAAAGTTAATCACCTGCTCCAGATGTTGTCGGACAGCGTCATAGCCAGCTAGAAAGTTTTCCAGTGCCCTGAGCAAGTGTCCAACCCATCATGTTCCCCCAATTCTTGTTGGGAAAACCACTTTTTTCTCAACAGTGTTAAACGAACTTCTCAAGTTGGATCTGGTAAATATTAAAACTATGTATGTTATTATGTGAATTATCAAAATTTCCAAATTGTAACTAATAAAGCATTACAAAATATTAAATAACAAATGTATAGCATGTCTAGTTACACTATAGCTTCCCTTTACCACACTTTTTAATACTAAAATTAATAAATATTACATTTGAAATAAACAGAAAACTAGACTACCAGTTCAGTTATTTAACTTAAATTATTGGATTACCTGTTCAGTGCACTGTTGTGATAAAAATAGTAAAGTCCCTGAAGAAGGTATGTGGTGACTTTTGTATCCAGTGGAACATGCTTGATAGCATCTTTAAAGGCCAACTCCAACTTGTGTGCATAGCAATGCACAGCTACCATAGATGGCTGCAGTCTCCTCAGTTTTGCTCCAACGCCGTTGTTTCTTCCTAACATCACGGACGCCCCGTCACTCCCCATTCCTACAAGCTTTCCCAGAAAATCATGCCAAGGAACTCCGACCTTCTCCACAGACCGCTGCATTGCCTCCAGAATACCATCAGCATCACTTTTGGAGACGTAGGAGGGATTCAGGAAAAAAACCTATGCAAAATATAATTTGTAGTAAACAGATGATTATCAGTGATAGTAAATTATCTAATTAGTAAAATACTATAGCTAATTAGTAAAAAGTTTATACATTTATGTTTTAAAATTAAATGATTGTCATTGTGGGACAGGGTGTGGGTGTGACGTGTCTGTGTGTAGTGTATGTTTGTTGGTGTATATTTGCTCAAAACTGTAATTTAACAGTAAACAATACTTTAATACAACATTTTACTAATACTGTGTTTTTTAACTTACTGTATATAATTTCCAAAACTATGTACATCATATGTATATTATCATTGATTACATATTTGCAGACTAATAGCTCTACTGAGCTATTGCTAATGTCGCCCATGTAACAAATGATGTTGTATATATATATTATCCTTGATTTTTTTTTCTTGTAATTACAAAGCAGATGTTGAGATAGTGTAATAATCATGTAATATTAGAAGAT